TCAGGAAATTCCTGGAAGTCTCTTGACCGACCACAAGCATGGCTTCATGCCCAAAACAGTTCCAGAGAATTAGGCTGTGCGGCCGGTCTATTTTCAATGTTAAAAGTGCACTATAGTACAAGGAAGGGTGAGGTCAGACAATACCAAGGGCTGTTGGGAGACCGAGGAGGGACAAAGCAGCCAATTTAAACTGGTCTGGCAGTTTCCCTGGGACAACGCCCTGCTGGGGAAACAATAGGACAGGAAAAAGGGGAAGGGGAAGAGGCACATTTTCCCATGGAAGTCACTTTTTAACATGTCTTTGCAGGGCCGATTAGTCCTCTCCAAAAACCAGTGGCGAATTTTTTTTTTTCGTCACATACCCTACACAACGTGTAGGACTCTTAATATGTACAAAGCACCGGTTTTCAAATGAAAAGAGAACAAATGCATTCAGCAGGATGTACATTTGCAATTAATCATTCACTTGCTTAAATTTCATGTACTATTTGCTCACTTGCAGTACTAGCAGCCAGCTGGCAAATAGTTACAAAAACTCTTGACAGTGTGAGGACTATCCGTGTCACCGTGTGTCAGCTAGCTAGCTGCCACATTTAAAAAAAAGCAAAACAAAAAAAAACACAAATTGCAGTCAGTATGAATATAAAGGAGGTTTAAAACCTCCATTGGGCCACTTGAAATGCATTTATATGTATTGAATTATATCTGCCAGGTTTTTGCCCAGTCCCCCTATGTATCTAAATCCCTCTGTAGAAGTCCCTCTCTTGTGTCTAACATTCCAGAGCTCAAAACCTTGGTTGGGTGTTTAAATTAACATTTTTTTTTAATATTAGGTTTGTGTGAAATATCTCCACGAAAAGTGTGACCAAGATAAGTGCAATTGGCTTCATATGTGCGGCTACTTCATGCGTGGGGAATGTTATCGGCGTACATGCTACAAATCCCACAACCTACTAGAGGAGAGCACCAATCTTCTCATCAAAAGCTTTGGAATCCCTGCTGTATCTGTCGAGAATTTCCAGATGCTCGCAGTTCTTAAAAACATTCAGCTTCTACAAACTCAGGGTGAGCAAACCGGAAGAGGAAGGGGCAGAGGTGCATCCAGCAGTAGAGGAGGAGGCAGAGGAAGAAAACATGTACACATTCACAAAGGTATGATCAAGTAAATCGCTTTGTATATATTTTTTTTCAATTTGTATTTTATCGAGTTTCTTCAAATATAACCATGACATAATTACATGACTGTGGATGATTAGAAGAGCATCGCAAGTCGCAGCTTGCTGTCAAATACAATGTAGAACTTAACTTGCTTCACGTACATTAATAGTATACATACTCCAGTCAGTGAGGTTTGATAGTACATTCCAGTGATAAAGACAGAAAAAAAAAAGAAAATGAAAACTATAAAACCATAAAACAGTATGACTAAATATCATGAAGGCATTTATGCGTGGCAACACGAATAGAATTATTCTCTCACTCAGTAGAGCACACCCGTGTGGATCCGGGCAGACAGGGTTCAAGGACAGTCGAATAGCTTGTGCGGGGGGTGGGGGGGGGCAAGTCAACGTCACACAGTTTGGTCCATAGAAGAAGGTAAAGGCCATGAGGAGGGACCGGCAGGAATATCTATATATTGCCCTGTTGTGATAGCAATACCCAAGGTGCCCATGTTGTCTGGAATTTTGAGGTCTGAGAGGGTGAGTGCAGGGACATCTACTCATAGATGTAAAATTGCTGTAGTTTGTCTCTAAGTTGTGTTAGTGGTGGGCAGTGTGGCTTTTTCCACTTGTACGCTATTAAGTTCCTAATGGCCAGCGAGACCAGTGCTATTAGTTGGTGGTTGATAGGGTTGATATTAGCATTGGGTAACAAAAGAAGGCATGAGGAGGTCGATGGAGTAAAATTGTTGATCCCTAGTTGCCCTAAGAGTGCATGGATGTCCTCCCACAGCGGTCGGATCCCACTACATGTCCACCAAATGTGAAGTAAAGTACCCTCCTACACCCCTCATCTCCAGAACTTGGGGGAAACTGTCGGGTATATTATGTGTAGTTTATGTGGCATTAAGTACCATCGATATAGGAGCTTCTTATGGGCCTCTATGTGCGACTAGCATTTCGTCCATTTGGACAGGCCATTGAGCGCCCTTAGCCATTCCATGTCTGTGAGGTCTGTGCCACTGTCAGTTTCCCACTGGGTCTTGCACAGCAGTGGCTTGTTGGGTTGCATTTCCAACCAAGCTCTGTAGCAGAGGGAGAGGGCCTTTGGCTTGGTTGGGTGCTTTGTATATTTTAAAGTAATCTCAAAATAGTTTGAAATATTGTTATATGAAAATAAATGCTGCAAAGATCTATTCATCTTACTGACACTTAAGGAATAGTGATGTACCGAACGGTTCGCCGGCGAACGGTTCCTGGCGAACATAGCATGTTCGACCCGCCCCCTATTCGTCATCATTGAGTAAACTTTGACCCTGTACCTCACAGTCAGCAGACACATTCCAGCCAATTAGTAGCACACCCTCCCTAGCAGACCCTCCCACCTCCTGGAAGGCATCCATTTTAGATTCATTCTCAAGCTGCATGCTTAGTAAGAGGAGGGAAAGTGTAGCTGCTGTTCATTAGATAGGGAAAAGCATAGCTAGGTTAGGGTTAGGGTATGCTTTTTTTTTTGTTTATTTTTTCTATGTAATGTAATTTCACTTAGTTGTCTGCCACTGCTGCCAGCTTCTGTGTCAGGCTCACAGTGCATACTGTGCCCATTTCCCCAGTCAGTGCCACCACTTACATCTAGTGTCACAATAGCTTGGATTTAAAAACAAAAAACTTTTTTCACTGTTATAGATTGAATAGCAGTCAGTGTCCTTAAAGCGGGTGTGTTACGCTAACAGTGGATACTGTAACCGTGTGTGGTTCCCTTATTTACCACTAATGTCTTAAAGCATAGAACTTAGTAGGGCAAACCATACAGATATCTTAGCCATAATTTTATATAGTGTAAGAGATCCTCTATTTAACATATATAAATAATTGAGAATACAATATAAAATAAGGATTGTCTTGGAATCAAGATTGTCTTTTTGGATATTTATTATATAAAAATATAAAATCCATTATAGCAGAGTTTATAAGATTAAATTACATGCTTGCAAATATCATTAATAGGTTAACATACCCTTCTGAACATGTCATCATGTCAGCCTCTCTGTCATTTTAAGATGGAGCAGCGTCTGTCTCCAAGTCTCTCCTCTGTGTCTTAACATTTAAAAGTACACCTATTTATACCTTAGGTGTCTCCATTTTAAGGTTACTGTAGTTCAAATATGAAAAAGTAACACTTCTTTTACTTTATTCAATTTAGGACCTCCCTTAATTTGGCAAACATACAAAACCATAACTAAAGGGTGTATACGTCATGGAAATTTTCCTGACTTAGTTCAAGATGGCATCTTAAAGTCTGAATAGGTTATCTGTTGTTTATACTAAGTCGTAAGTGTACAGTCGCGGGAGATTCCCGGATTTGGGGAAGTTCCATTAACTTGGGGTTACCACAGTATATTGTGTACTGCAAGTGTCGTAGAATAGCCTTGAAGCTTGTTTATACATTATTGTTATTGTAATTCGTCTGGGACAAAATGGCGCAAACATATTATGCACTGAGGTTATTGCTTAAAGAAACATCTATGAAAAACAATATGTTCCATTTCTAACACCTTGTCAGTTTGCAATATCTCTTAAAGACAAAGTACACAGTTTAAAAAATACAACATTTCATTCTAAAACTTGTAATATTTGCATTTGCCCATAACACCCTCTCCATTAAACTGTGGGCATTGTGGCGCATTTCTTCCTTAAATTAGTAAACCAAAGTTCTCCAACAGTCTTTAGGTTTTTTGTGCTCCCTGCATCTTTGATCATTGTTGTAACAGTAAAATATCCGTAGTGTGATCTTTGCCTGTAAAGGTGGTTGATTAAAATGAGCAAAGCTTTTGTCTGGGAAAAAATTGAAAAGAACACCAAGTTCCAGAGTAAGATATTCTTGGATGGATCTGGATACGAATTGTAATCCAAAGTTAAAAATAGTAATTGTATTTGTAATCCAAAGTCTTTAAAGGCCTATAGAAGTTTACATTCCTTAGATACATTGCTGGAGGTTGTTGTGTTTGTAGCATAGCCGGGTATTTGTTGTAGAGTATAGGTTGTAGAGTCCAGCTTTCCAAATATTTGGCTAGAATTGGTCGCAGATATTAAATCAGCATCATCTGTTATCACCGTGGTGATGGTGTTGGTATTTGACTTTGTCTTTTGTCTTTGCTTTTTATTTTGTTTGTTTTTTCCATGAAACATTTTTACACCATTTATGATGTGTATAGATTGGATACTCTCCGATATTCTTTTTCAAGACATTGTCTTAAGTGACATGGATCCCGTTATAGTAAATTTTATGTTGATACAGCAATCGAAGTGGATTCTCAAGAACGCCTCTTTTTGCGGTATTTGAATCTTTGTAACATCTCAGTGATAGACATCTCACTGACATCAGGTGCTGTTGTGCTAAAAATGTTAAGTAAAATCTGTGGAAAAATCTTTACATTTGTTATAGTTTGTATAATAATGATAGATGAAATAGTAACATAGTTAATCTCATAGTTAAAGATAAACACCCTTGTATATGATTTAGAGATAAATGGATAATTTGAAGCAGCAAAGTATTTACCACCTTTGTTCACAATGGTATGTAAAATTACATCCTCTTTAAATGTTAAAAATACTCTTTTTTATTTAAAATCTCTCAGTATATTTAGAAATATGACGTTAATTATCTTTCAAAACAAATTAAGAATGTAGCGCTTATATGTAAAGAAATTAATCACCTTTTGGATGTTGGAGAAAGAATATCACTTAAAAATCGGCACGAAAAGATGCCTAAAAGAGATAATCATATATAGTATAGATCACACTTATAAACATTTGTTATTAATGTATAGTAAATGAACTCACAAACGGAGAGCTATCAACTTAGCTCTAGTTTAAATAGCTTCTGGGTCTATATAGGTGACCCAAACCCTTCTCACGATATATTCCTGAGGTCTGTGAATAAATGGAAATATACAAAATTGCGCAATATCGTTTGTAATATCCCAGAGCAAATATATATAGTCTTTAAGTGGGTACTCACAAGGATGGAGTCAAAATATATTGACTCAATATTATGGCGTTGTGCAAATTCGGGACTGCACTCCCCATTCAATATAACGATATCAGGAACCAGGATTATTCAAAAATAAAAACAGTAATTTATTTAAATACACTCTTATACATAAATGAAATAGCCACAATGTGCTTAAAAAAATACCGGTTAATTATCTTTCGTTTGACCTGTTAGGGAGAAGATAACTTATTTCCTAGTTATTATTAGTAAATATTATAACTACAGTTATTAGTGGCTTAAAATACCAGAAACACCCAAAAATTGTCTTAGAAAACATTTTTTTTTTTTTTTTTACCAAGATCTGACAGCCATTGTGGAAAGTTACGTTTGTGAGATTGGATGCTTAACAATGAGAATCTTAATTGTTTAAGTATATTTTTCAGTGGCTGTTGGGTTAGCTTAAGATGATTTGGATTTTTTTATTATTTCTAAAAGTGAGCTAAGAAAGCACTCAGATACAATATTGAAGGTATTTATATTTAACTCTATCTTTGTATAAGTGGTTTTATGTACCTTTAACCATCACAAACCAAATAACATTTTTGGTATTTGAGAAAAAAAAAACATAAAATATCTGATTACATGTATTTTTATATATATATATACATAGAGTGGTATGAATGTTGAATTTATATCTTTGACATCTTTTCACCAGTTTGCAATAGGTGACCTAAATGATCAATTTCCAAAATCATCATGTATATCACCTGGACGGGTTAATCCCTAATACTCTTTTACTTTCCATTGACTGGCCTTGGCTCTGGCAGACTGAATATTTTTATCATTATAAATAAACTTTATGATAGTTGAAGTAAAGTTTCTGCCTGTCTTTCAGTTAAATTTTAACTGTTGAAGTATTTCACTTATATTAATTATACCACTCTGCAAACTTAAACGAATATAGAGTAGTTTCTGATTTAATAAAAACATTTTACATTTTCTTCTAAAGTTTAAACCTTATTCATTATTGCAGTTGTTATTGCAATCATATGATCTTTAACTATCATGATTCAATTATTTATCTGGGTAATTAGCTGTTATGCTCTTATACTTTATGTCTAATATATTTGTTTGTAGGCCAGACTGCAGCTGCATATGGCATTTTAGCAATAATCTTCAATTGCGTTTCAGATATTCACAAAGTCTATCCACCTTTGTAATTAACACATTATGTGTTTCTTATACCATTAATTATAGTATCTGTATTATATTACACATTGTCACTGACACATTTCTGATACAGGGAAAAAAATAGCATGATTGCTTTAGTAATTATAATTTTCGGTCCATGCACCACATTCCTGGAAGTCCAGAATATAGCAAGAATCCTTTGTCGTTTCATTCTATGGAGCCATTTAACGTTTTGATGGGTATAGTTATACCAAAAGAGCAAGGAGTACGACGGTAGATCACATCTGCAACAGAACCATTACAGATTTCTTGTTGTATCAATGTCTCTGTGTTTATGTTTACAGGAATTCCTTGCTTTGCAGGTATGTACATAATATGTAGAGTTTAAGAAAAGCTGCAAATCGTGCTTTAGTACAAGTGTCCCATGATGTCAGGTTTCTGAAAGATTTTGCTGGTCTTTTTATATTCCATTCTCTTGGCAGGGCATCTGCTCTTAGTAGGCCGGTGTTATTATTTATTAATTGCATCAAGGTTTCTTTCGTTAATTGATGTGTTTCTTCCGAATTCAAATTCATATGCCACCAGATGTCATTGTAAAGTTCATTGTCACAGAATATTGTTCCAGGATGGTTTTTCACTCCAGTAGGAAATCTATAATAAGCTGTGTCTCTCCTTTTGGGATGGTTCTTGGAGGTAGTCCTCACGATCACAGAACTTGTATAGTGTACAGTCCAATTCAGTTCAGGTGCTTCCTGCTTGTTAACATAATTCCAATGCAGTTTTAAAACGACAGCTAGGGTTGATGTTATGATAATGCTGCAGATTGTAAGAAGGAGACACCAATTTTCTAGCATCCTTTTGCTTCCATCTTTGCATTTCTTTCTTACTGTATAAGATAATTCAGGTACAGTCTGTTTTCTCCAGAGTCTTTCTGATAATGATGTTGATGATTCATTTTTCGTACATTCCATATTAACTGTGAATGTATCACGTCTGTCTGTTCATCCTTCTCCTTCACATTTGCAGGTTCAGATGTCAGATCATGAGTCAGTCTGTTACGTGGCTATGATTCTGGTGGCATTTCTGTCGTCCTCTGTTTATCTTATCTTGTCATCTTTAACAGCATCCATTGTGTCAGTCAGTGGTTCTGTGAACGTCCTGTTAGTATTTAGCAGGTTGTAAAATATCAAAACTTACTGTTCTCTGTTGGGTCTGATTGTTCTCTGTAGTAAAAGTTCTCTGTATCACCCTCTCCAGGACAAACTGGCCAACAGAAGGAAATAGGTGGTGGTGCAAGGCGAGGTGGGCTGGAAAAAAATTCCCTAAATTTCTCTAATAGAACCAATGGTTCTAAGCTCTCCCTGGTGCAGAAATATAATTGTCAGTGAAAAAACATGTAACATTTCATATGGTGTCTCACCATTTGTATCAACAGGTATGTTGTGAATGCTCATCTGTACCATAGGAATAAATAGATACCACTGTGTGGGGCAAGCAACTAGTAACTTGGTTAATAATCATTTAACCTCAGCATTCTCCCAGACCACAACCCCACATCTTTGGGGGTGGTTGGGGCACTGAAATCCCAAAGTAACCCAAATGTGGTTGCCCAGTTTTAGGTTTCCTTTGCAGTAACTGCAGGACCACCATCCAAATGGATGGTCCTGGGATTATCAAATGCATACTAAGGAAGTGAGACTAGAAAACGTGGCATCAGAGGTTGCACTTCGCACAGGATATATCCAAGTAAACCTGGTACATGCATCAACACATACAAAAACATATTTATAACCATGAGATGTTGGCAAACTTTCAATATATAGTAATTCAAAAGTATGTTGGATATTAATATTTCAATAAACAATACATCAGTAATGTGGCAATAAGCAAATGCTTATGATTACTAAACACATGAATTACAGTATTTCCCATATTGTGACCACCAATATTCCTTTTCAGGAGTCAAAAGTACATTACCTCTCTCTATAAGAGCTTGTCCTAGCCATGAAAAAGCTTTTAGGGCAAGTCCATCTTTCCTCTATAGGAAGAACAACCAACATATTACCTTCAATGGTTATTATGTAATTAACCCCTCTAAACGATAGGAGTATTTATGCGGATACCAGGTGGATAAGGTCTGGATATCCTTGCAAGCATAAACTCTGCATCATGACAGAGAGATAGGGTATGCGATGTGATCCAATGACCACAGAAAAGCGTTGGTAGACACATTGCATCAAAGTGTCTGTTAACGACATGAGGAGAGGGACCATGCTTTGTTATAAGCATGTCCATACACGTATTACAATGCCAGGCTTTCAATTTGTTTCCACAAAGCAAAATGCAGTTGTTGATATAAACTCACGACGTATCGTAAGAAAAACTGTTTGAACACCAGACTGAGATTCGAGATCAGTGAACAGTGGACCAAAATAGATAAATGAAATCCTATCAATTAATATACTTTCAATATATTTTATTTAAATTACTTTATTCTCTGTATTAACTATGAAATATTAAAGTTAAAACAATAACATTTAAAAGCCAACTTTTAGTGTGCATAGGAATTACAAGGCCATTCATAATGTGAGATAAAGAACAGCTTTTTAAAACCGAATAGTCTGTGAACACAAGATGACCTTGCGCTGAAAACTCACTTGCAGGGGAAAAATAAACTTTTTTTCTTTTTCTTTAGTAAATTAATTAATTAATTAAACGTAGTTAGGACCTCCCTCAAAGTCCCGATTACTTTGCAAGAAACATTTCGTCCTTAAATACTGGGTAAGTCTATTAAACAGTGAAATAGCATTTTCACACTGTATATCATGTTGTCACAGCTATAATGTGCAGTATAATAAACTATTTATAAGTGTTGTGCAAACTGTTCATTAAAAGCCAGCGGTCTAGTGAGCTATAGAACTTTTTTTTCATTTATTCTTTAAAGCTCTGACATCAGTCGGCAAAGCAATATTGTAATGGTGTCCATTGCAATCTGCTATCTACACTTGCTGCTCTCAAAAATTCTGAATATGTTCAGAGATTTCTTGGGCAATAATAAATCCCCAAAAACAACTTTGCATTTATGCTAAACCTGCCTGCTGTAAACGTATTCTGTATATTTCTTGTCATAAGTACTTGTACTTAAATCTGTTTAACAAAGCTGTTTATATTATGGTGTAAAATAAATTTTTTATTATTATTATTTATTTTATTTATTTATTTTTTAACATTGCTTAATTTTTAAAGATACCTGCATATTTAATTAAATATCCTGTATATGTCTTTAAGGCATAAAATATCTGCAAATTAAGATTATATACAAAAATGCATGTCCTGGGTGTTCCTGTGATTCCTTTTCTATCATTTATTTATTTAAAAAAAAATTTAAGTCTGGAATCTGATTTCTTTTGAGATGAGCACCCCTCTGAGCCCCCCAATTTCAGAGGCTTCTTTGGAGGTGACCACAAAAAAGTATAGATTCTATAAAATAGATGTGAGGGGGCTTTGGACAGTAATGTCACTTTAATTATACTTTTCATATAGCAGATATGTGATATGCAATGTGTTTTAATATATCAGAGTATTATCACTTTAATTGACACTGCATTTTTTATGCATTATTCTTTATGCATTATTATTTTTCTTTTTTTCTTAAATTTTAATGTCTGTTTAGAATATTGCAGGCTTTGCAATATCAAATTAATTTTGCATTATATGTGCTTTTACAACATATTATTAAAATTAGCCTCTTTCAGAATTGTAGAATATGTGGTGGAACTGAATCCCCATATATGAGCTTTAAAACTGTATTTTTAGTTCTACTCTGTGCCCTAATCAGTATTTATATACATAATTGAGGCAGCATATAGCTTTTAAAGAAGCAATTATTTCACCCATCATGTGTGGTTGACTGTGGACTTTTTAAAACCTACTTTTTAGTTTTTTTATAAATTCGTTTCTGGCTTTGAGAGAGCAGGCTGCTGAATGCATGTAAATGCTGTTATTGCCTAGTCTATATACTTTTATTTATAAACAACATTGATATATTGATATATAAACAACTTTGATATTTAATCTTATCTTATGAAAACCTAGTTTATGAAATTCACTGAGATTACATGTGTCTGACCGATTACAGTCAGTAGTACAATATCATTGTTCTAATTTCCTTACTGCTAGTACGGTGGGATAGTACCACTGATTTAAGTAAGCTTTCCCTTTTAAAATTGGTGGACTTTAATCCTGCCATTGCAATAGACTAAAGACTGTACCTGAGTAAGCAAAGTCA